TTTTCTTACATGTTTGTCTCCCACTGACAGAAAGCTGGCCAAGTAGCGAAGGGGTCATTTTAAAGCCGGCCATCCTCAGCTGGCTCACATTTTAGTAATTTGTGTTTTGAGCAGAGCCACACACTAGAAACAACCCGCAGGCTTAAATACAGTGTATGGCTTGCCTACTGATCAGAACCCCCGCAGTTTGGGACCTGACTTTGGACATTTGGAGCTACTGATAACCATCATCTGAGTAGCGAGGAACTTAGGCCATGTCCTGGTTCCACAAGCAAAGGAGACTTGGGGTGAGAAGAATGAGTTTTGAGGAAAAGGCTCCTCAGAAACTAGTAGCTGATTTCAGGGGGAAATGCATGTCGTCGGGATGACTAGAGGCTTGGGACATTAAAGTCAAGGCTGTTTTGATGGTCCAGGCCATCCTTGCTTCTCAGACTCTAAAACCAGGATTAGGTTCCTAGGATGGCCTCAACGGAGCTCGGCAGGCAGGAAAGCCTGAGCAACGGGCACTGCCTCAGTACCAAGTACTGGAGGCTACTTGTCTTAGATAATGTGCCAAGAGCGTTGGGTTTTTTCTGTGGTAACCCTCCGTGGATTTTGGATGGCCATGTTTTCCACTTATTTTGACATAAAAAAATCCTTAAAGAATATATGATATTTGAAGTAAGCTGAGCTGTGTCCTAAGAACATGGGTTCAAGTTGCCCCAAAGAAAATGTATAAATGGTTTTGTGAAGTTTATTTCAGTATAGAATAAAATGAAGACATAAATCAAGGCATTTTTAAAAGAATCCTTTGGTGGGAGCTCAGATTCGACCTCTCACAGCAGAGCAGAAAGTCTCTCAGAGTCTATCTGACGTTTTTTAGCTTCGAACTGGTAGAACATGGTGGTCTGCTGAATGAATAGATTCCAGAAGGCTGCTGGTAGCTTGGGTATCCGGTAAGGCACAGGTGAGCAAGAGAACCAAAGGTGTGGGCTGAAATTTAACTCCGAATCTGCAACATTCCAGCTCTTTACAGCTGCACAATGTTTTGATTGCATTCTGACGATAAAGTTGGTTTTGAGTCAGAGGGCAGAGCTAGCCACTAGCTGGCCAAAATTAACCATAGAGGTTCAGGAGGACTGAAGAATGAGGCAGGGCTTAGAGGGGTCTGGGACCTTTTTGAGGAGGGCACAGAAGAGGTCGGAGGTCACTGATAGCTTCTCCACAGCTTCTTTGATCATTCAGATTCTTAACCCAGTACCTGACTCGCGATTTTTTTATTGGTAAAGAATAATTAGATAAACACTTTACAATACAGAAGGTCTATCATTCCATCAGCATTGTAGAATCTTTAAACTAGGAATGGCCTCTTTTTCTGAGCACTCTAGTTCCCAGGCCTCTCATGGTCTTCCTTCTGGGTGTAACTGACAGTTCTTGTAAGTACACGGTGTTTTTTGTTTGTCTGTTTGTTTTGTTTTATTCAATTTAGATTTCCCCTCTCTCCAAATATAATCACCAAAGCACTGAGCATCGCAACATCTGCATATAAATTCGGACTGGGGCACAATTTGGCCCAGAGGTAGAGCTACCCATGACGTGATCGCTTTGGTTCGTTTTGCAGGTTTTGTAGAGACCTGCCAGGCTGAGACATTTGACCTCTTTGTCCCCATGAATCTGGACTTCCTGGGTTCTATGGAGGGTCATACAAGACCACACACATAGCTGGCTTGGTGCAGTGGTGAAGGCTTCAGTCAGCAGCACCTGTCATATTTGCTGGTGGTAACCAGAGCTGCGGGACTGAAATCCCAGATGAGGGATTGTACCAGTGCTTCTCGACCTGTGGGTCATGACCCCTGGGGTTGCATATCAGATATTTATATTACGATTCAGAGTAATAGCAAAACTACAGTTATGAAGTAGCAAGGAAGTAGTAATCTTATGGTTGAAGGTCACCACAACATGAGGAACTGTATTAAGGGTCACAGTGTCAGGAAGTTTGAGAACCACCGCCTTAGATGCTCAGCTGGCTATCCAGGGGGTCTGTGTGGTGTGTTTTATAGTATGCTCTGTCTCTTTGGGCCAAAGCTTGACTTGACCAAAGAAACCATTTCTTTATGTCATAGAGACAACGACTCTTTCTGTAGACTGAGCTCCTGGAAAAACCCAGAGGATACTGGGAGTTAGCACACAGTGCTTACGTTGGAAAACGGTGGTGCTTCTCTTCCGTCAGTTGTAAAGTGGGGCTGATACCATGGGGCCTGTCTGAAAGAGTGGCTGTGAAAACCAGGGGCCCATGAAACACGGCACTAGCCTGAGTTGTACTTGGGAGCATCGTCAAGGTGTACTTTGCCTGTACGGCCAGCAGGTGGTGACATTGGCCACATATTGAACCGCAAGGTTCTCATCACAGTTGTATTCAATTGCCACTCTGGTTCCCTGTGAGGTGTAGGTTTCCATGAACAGTGTGAGCCAGCTGAATGACGGGCTGGGCTTGTCTGTAGACTGTGTTCTGATACTGTCACTTCTTGCTGAGGGCTGAGCTGCCAGCGACCTAGCGCAAGGACATCATGCAGCCGGGTGGGTTTGGACTGCAGTTCAGGCTGCTCACTAAAGGCGGGTGAGTTGCAGGAGGCAGCCTGTTCCGGTTGCTGCTTTCCTGCCTTGCTAGCCTGGCTTCACACTGAGGGCGACTGCACAACAAAACGAGGTCTGTTTTACCTTCAAGTCTGAAGGGTCAGTGTTGCCTCAGAATCTGAGGTGCTGTGGCCCACAGAGCATCTTGAAAGGATGGAGCAAAGTGGTCCTAAGTAAAAGGTCTGAAAGTTTTTATTTGTTTGATGGTTTTCATTTCATGTTGTGTAGCTCAGGCTGGCCGCAAACTCCCTATACAGCTGAAGAAAGACAGCCATCTACTTTGGGTCCTTCTGCCTTCTAGCCCCCTTTGTGCATCAAGTAGCTAAATTCCTGAAGAGTCGGGTGATGGTCATTTCATATGCTGCTCTTTCTCTTGCCCACTGTGAGGACGTGGGATGGACAGTCTGCTGGCCCAGCTATGTAAAGATCAAGTGGAGAGGCCACACCAGCAGAAGTGCTAGGGCTTTGTAAAGCATAATGATTTAAGTGTGTGTGTGTGTGTGTGTGTGTGTTGAACTGAAGAATTTACGTAACTTAAGTGTATTGAACAAATAAATGTTGTTGATTTGAAATACCAATGTATCAGGTAGTTTTTTTTTACCTATAGTGTTTAGTTGATGTGAAATACAAAACCTGTTGTAATTTCAGTAATGTACCACAAGGTGGCACCAATGTCAACTGTCTTAGCTACCAGGAAGTGAAAGTCGGCCTGCTTTTCTATAGCTAAATCTCACAAATTCTTTATTTTGGAACTTTCTTTTCTGGAGTTAGAAGGTTCTGTTTTACTTTGTAGAAATTTGACCCGGTGACAATATGTTTGTACCTTTTCGTTTTATGAGGTGCTGGGATTGTTCTCCATAACGTGTCTCCTTAAGCCCCACATTATACCCAGCCATTGACCTGTTTAAATTCTAGTTCCTATAGGAGGTCCACACAGGAAAAACTTCCTAATGATAATGTTAAGGTTTTTTTTTAAAAAATATTTGTGTGTTTATTGTGTATGCAGTATTCTGCCTGCACACCAGAAGAGGGCACCAGATCTCATTTATAGATGGCTGTGAGCCATCATGTGACTGCTGGGAATTGAACTCAGGACCTCAGGAAGAGCAGCCAGTGTTCTTAACCTCTGAGCCATCTCTTCAGCCTTAGGTTGCTTAATTTTTTATGTGAAGACTTTACTGTTTGTCTTTGTATTTGTTCCTGTTTGTTTCCCAGACTTCAAATCAGATCAACTCAGTTTTTTCATATTTATCTTTTATATGCATTGGTGTCTTGCCTGCACATGTGTCTCTATACCACATATGTCCTCAGAGGTCGAAAGAAGGTGTCGGATCTCCTGGAGCTGGAGTTACAGACGGTTGTGAGCCACCATGTGGTTGCTGGGAACCCTCTTAGTTGCTCTGCCGTCTCTCTGACCCTAGATCAATTCTTTTTTTTTTTTAAAGATTTATTTATTTATTATGTATACAACATTCTGCTTCCATGTATGCCCACGTGCCAGAAGAGGGCACCGGATCTCATTACAGATGGTTGTGAGCCACTATGCGGTTGCTGGGAATTGAACTCATAACCTCTGGAAGAACAGCCAGTGCTCTTAACCACTGAGCCATCTCTCCAGCCCCCCCTAGATCAATTCTTAATTAACTTTTTTTCTCTACTTTTTCCAAGAGCATGGGTTTCTAGATAATCAGGAAACTGAAATAAAATGCTTGGCCTTAAAAATTAGAACTGCTTTCGAATCACTTATTTTTATGCACATCTGAATTGTGTGGTGTGTGAGCTACTGTCTGCTGTACATGTGTGCGCATGAACAGCTGTCTGACTTAGTAAGGACACACACGAGCGAGGGCTTGTCCTGTCGCTCATCTCCTGCCTGCATTTCCTCCCAGTTCCGCGACCGTGGTGGCACAGAAAAAAAACTTCTTTTATTTTTATGGTGGTGTAGTAAAAAGGAACCATTACCAAATAAACAGACCTAAGTTTTTGTATCACGCGTTCTTTACACCATAGTAAATATGGGAAAGAAACAACCTTGGTCAGACAAGCTCTTTCTCCAGAGATGTTTGGGCTCAATTTCTAACCTAAAAGCAACTTTATGTTGGGAGTAAATAACGACGTGGTTGAGAATAGAGGCCTAACTAAGTCTGGCTATTTCTCAAATCGAAAAGACCATCAGGTTTTGTTGTTTTGCTTGAGGTTTTCTGTTTTGATTCTTTATTTCTCTTTAGTAGAGGGCTTTTAAGTGTTTACTGTTCGCCGGTCATTTTCAGAACCGCTTTCTTTTGGGGTTTGGTAGGAGTGGAAAAGGGCCTGTGGGTATGGCTAAATATAGTTCCTTAAAATGAAGCAGATATGACAACCTACTCTTTTTCTCTTTTCTCCCTTAGATTGGGATAATTGGTGGAACAGGCTTGGATGATCCAGAAATTTTAGAAGGAAGGACTGAAAAATATGTGGATACTCCGTTTGGCAAGGTCAGTGTCCAGCCAACCGAGTGTTGGCTTTGGCATGGCTTATTCCTCGCTTGGTTTGTTTTTTTTGTTTTTTTTTTTTTTTTGGTTTTTCTTTTCTTTCTTTTTTTTTTTTTAAGTCAAGAACAGTTGGTTTTGTGTGGACAACCTAAAGACTGGCCCAGACAGAGGGCCAGCGATGCTGCCGCCGGGTTCACTTGCTGAGTTGTCGAAGGGTGCCCAAGGCTGCTGTTTTGATGACACAGCTTTCACACACACCGGGCGGCATCTCGGGTTTGCATTGCTAGAAGTCAAGATGCTCATTTTAAATTCAAATATGTGTGTAATTTAGAGCCCTGGTCATACCATGGTGACTTAGCCCGGGCTGGTGGCTGGTAGCATAAGGACTCTGTATGAGGTGACATTTTCTGACCCGGATGAGTTCTGGGATCAGGGACACATGTTAGGATTGGGAAGACATGGAATCTAGGGAAGGCTGCTTATTTTTCGACCCGGCCAGGTGGGTGAGTTATCTCCATTCGTAACCCCACATTGCCTCTTCCAAACACTGGCTGGCATTTGTCCCTCTGAGAACTTGCATCCCTGCCCAACCCTCCTTGTCAGCTAAGTTCTTAGCCTGACCTGGGGTTTTCCAAGTCCTTTCCCACCTCACCCTTAGCCTCTCGGGCTTCCTTAATAATGTTCGCTCTGGGGTTTTCCCTGTGACTTCACCTCGTCCCCGTGGCCATCTTGAAGCCTGGTTACCATAAGCAGGTGGTTCCATCACTCAGCTCTTGGTGCCCCACAGCCCTCTCCTCTCCTTTCAGCTTTTGACTCATAACATTTCCGAAACCTTCCAAATGCCCCCTGACACGTGTCAGTCTGATCGGGCCCCCATCAGAGGGTCCCGGAACACTTGCGGAGTCCGTGCTGGCCGAGAGCTCGGTCACTACTTCTGGCTGATAATGGTGAGGAGTATAAACTCCTTCCCTAAACTGTGTCTTCAAACGCCAGATTCCCACCAGTTTGTTGTGGTTTAACGAACTGATTGTACATGGTTTAAAAATACTAAACTGCGGCTGTTTATTTTTTATTGCACGAAGCCGTCCGACGCCTTAATTCTGGGGAAGATAAAGAATGTTGATTGTGTACTTCTTGCAAGGTAACGTATTAAGTTTTGTTGTTGTTGTTGTTTAATATTACTACCACAGGAGACTTTAAACTTAAAGTCCAGAAATAGGTGCTGATGTAGGTGTGAGATAGGTGTCCGTAGAGTCAGAACATAGCAGTCCCTTTATTTCCTGAGATGGCTCTGAGCCAAGCTTGGATTATAAATATTTAGGAGGTCAAGGATCTCTTTCCTCACTTGTGTGTGGAAAATGGATCGGTTGTCTGACACAGAAGCTCCAGTATTTTCTTTGGTAATTTTCTTTCTCCCAATTATCAGATAAATCAGATGTTTTGTTCATGACGAAGCCTTATCCAGTAGCAGTTACGTTTTTCGGGGAGGAGGTCTCGGTCCCTGAACTAACCCGGATTACCTCTTGTGCTTATACCCTTGTTCCCTAAACAGGGTTAGTGGCGTCAGCTGCTGCACAGAAAGCAGCATAGTTAGAAAGTCCCCTGACCACAAGTGGCCACCACTGCAGTTAATGCAACAGCAAGCAGGTTCTCCTGCCAGCAAGGAGCTACCTAGTCACAGGAGGGACTTCTAAAAGCCGTACATGGTCTAGTGTAGGGGATCAAGTCTCAGGCTGACCCATATGAGATATGTGGATTATATAGGACATGAAAGGCGGACTTAACAAAGTTTTGTCCGCCACAGTCATGTGGAAAATTGGTTCTTGGGAGCCAGCAAAACTAAAATGTAGTTTTAAGCAGTCCTTTTTACAAGTCTCCGTCCTTGGCCTGTAGTCATTGCTAGAGAAATGCCTGGTATTTTGGTTGGTTGGTTGGTGTTTGTTTTTTTCAAGCTTGGGGAAAAAACAGTTTTTTAAATTACACAGATGTTTAATTTCTTCTGGAAAACCTGCTGAGTGCTTTAGAGGCCAGTCCCAGGAAAATACATGCATCTCTGTATGGTAAGGGCTTCTGCTCTCTCAGAGGCTGTCTGTGAACTCAGGGTGGAAATCTTAGTGTCTGTGTGTCACAGTTTGCTATCAAGAGAAGACATCACAGATTCTTTTTAAACACAGGATGATAGTGAGGTCGCACTTAACAGCTCTGAGGAGCAGGTCGATACTTCATTAGGTTTTACTCATGAGGGGGAAATCCGAGCTCTGAGTGGGTTGGGTAACTTCAGGGCAGGTATCTAAGAGAGCTTTGAACCCAAACGGCCACACTCCAAAGCCCAAAGTCTTTACTTCAATGCTTGGAGATATTCCCACAAAGTAAGGCTGTGTGACATAGCTGCCGGTGCGTTTCTGCTTTATCGGAGGTCAATAAATGAACTCTCGACTGAGGCAACTCTGTGCTAGAACATCCCATGTCCTAGTTTTCAGGGGGCCCAGATAATTGTACGCTGCTCTGTGAAATGTTGCCTATAAGAACATAAGGAAGCCATGTGACCAATGTGAATTTTAAAATTAATTTTAGAAATGAAACACTTTACAGCTGTTGACTGGAGTTTCCCCCACGGGTGTGGATACGCAGGTTCATGCTTATGTGTTTCAAGTGCATAAATAATTTCAACCAAATGCATGTGTTTTTCCAATGAAGCGAACTCCTTACACACAAGGACTTACTTCATCGTGGGGGCAAATTATAGTTGTAGAGATGGGCACCCAATAGACATAGACAGAGTAAACATGAGTGTGGTAGTTAGGTATGGCGTAAATGCAGTGACTAAGGTAGATGCTTTTTGACATTGGAGCTAAGACCGGAAGAAGTCAAGGGCTTGAAGGCCAGGGAGGAAGGCCTAAATAAATAGAAAATGGTTTCTTGCAGCTCTGGAAGCTAGATCTCTGAGATCAAGGATTTGGTTCCCTGGGAGTTGTGGGAGATCTCATAGCCCCTTTTGATGTGTTTAGTAATAATTCTTCATGGGGCTTGTCATAGGTGTGATGTGCATACCATCTTAATGAATCTAACTTTCTTTGTTTAGCTTTTTTCTGACCATTACCCCAATAATAACTTGTAACTAGCCTCCCTAAACAATGACAAATACCTATAATCCATTGAATGACCAAAAACCACCTACCCCACCTCTTGGGAGTATGTGGACATCGTGTTCTTAAAATTTACTTCCTACTGTCTGGGGGCAATGGTATCTTTAGGGGATCCTGAAAAGAAAAATGTGGGTTAATTGTCAAGTCCTGGGAGAGGTAGCTGTATTATTTTTTTGTCCAGTCTTTGCATAATGGGAAAATGTAGGGTGTGTCTCGAGTCCTGGCTAGAGTAGTCTGTTAAGCTGAGTCATCTCAGCTAGCCACCTCAGATTATTCTGAGCAGTTTGTAGTTCAAAGGCAGTTCTTAGGTGTTTTTAGCTTAGCGGTGTTATCGTAGTCATGGTGGGGCCCCATCCTCCTCATGGAGACGTCAGAGGTAGTTTAGATAAAGGGTGTGTGCCACTACCGCCCCCCAGTTCCCTTTTCTTTTTAATTTATTTATTATGTATACAATATTCTGTTTTGCGTGTATGCCTAAAGGCCAGAAGAGGGCGCCAGACCTCATTACAGATGGTTGTGAGCCACCATATGGTTGCTGGGAATTGAACTCAGGACCTTTGGAAGAGCAGACAATGCTCTTAACCTCTGAGCCATCTCTCCAGCCCCCCCCCCCAGTTCCCTTTTCTACAGCTCTTCTTAAAACCCTTTTTGTCCACTGTTGTTACAGTGCCTACTACAGTGCTCCATTTGGTGTCCCCAAGTCTTGTTCCCCATTTCTCTTTTCTGTTATCAGCTAAGAAATGTCCCTGCCATGTTCAGTAGAAAAGCTGTGGCTTCTGGACCTGTGGTTTATGCTGCCATGCTTCTAGAAAGCTGTGCTTTCCCTTCCTGTCTTTACTACTTCCTGAGCAAAGTAGTAGCTCTGTAGCATTCCCAAGTGTCAGTGGGACCAAGGGTTTTCCCATTGAAAACTGACATTATATTGAACTATTGTTCAATTGAAAAATCAATACATTGTTCATTGAAAAATCAATCTAAGTAAATTTTTCTTAAAAAAAAAAAAAAAAAAAAAACACAAAGAACCCTGTCTTTAAGTACACAGCAAACCCTGTGGTCCAGGTTGGGGTTAGAGCTACAATTCAAGAACTTTGACTCAGGGCTGGGCCATGGTGCATACCTTTAATCCCAGCACTCGGGAGACAGAGGCAGGCAGACCTGCTAAGTTTGAGGCCATCCTGGTGTGCAGAAGAAGTTCCAGGATAGCCAGGGCTACACAGAATCCCTGTCTCAAAACAAACAAACAAACAACACCAAAAAGAACTTTGATTTCGTTCAGCCTATAGCACTAGCCATGAAAGAGCTGGTCTGCTATCCAAGGCAGCAGGAGCTCCTAGGTTGAACAGTTTTCATAGTTTACTCCGGTAGGCTGAAGGGGTGGGCGGGGTCGCTGTTTCCTTGTGACTGAAGATGCCCTGTCCTGGTGGCTGATGTCCCCCTGCCATCTCCTTCCGTAGACATGGGAGACAGCATACCATCATGCCCTCGAAAGTCAACTACCAGGCCAACATCTGGGCTTTGAAGGAAGAGGGTTGTACACATGTCATAGTGACCACAGCCTGCGGGTCCTTGAGAGAGGAGATCCAGCCTGGTGACATGGTCATCATCGATCAGTTCATTGACAGGTAAGGGGTAAGTGGCCTAGTAGTTCTCCGTTTCCAGCTGTGAGGGGTGATGTGGGGGCAGCGTGGGGAGTGGGGTGAGCAGGACGTAGAATCGCTGTAAGCTTTCCATTGTAGGCTTGTATTTTTTTTATATTTATTTATTTATTATGTATGCAATATTCTGTCTGTGTGTATGTCTGCAGGCCAGAAGAGGGCACCAGACCTCATTCCAGATGGCTGTGAGCCACGATGTGGTTGCTGGCAATTGAACCCAGGACCTTTGGAAGAGCAGGCAATGCTCTTAACCACTGAGCCATCTCTCCAGCCCCTAGGCTTGTATTTTTTTTTAAATATTTATTTATTATGCATACAATATTCTGTCTGTGTGTATGTCTGCAGGCCAGAAGAGGGCACCAGACCTCATTACAGATGGTTGTGAGCCACCATGTGGTTGCCAGGAATTGAACTCAGGACCTTTGGAAGAGCAGACAATGCTCTTAACCACTGAGCCATCTCTCCAGCCTGTATTTTTTTAACTGAACTGACAAATAATAATTATGAACATAATTGATATATGTGGGCATTGCATGGTGATTTATATGTACATGTTCACCTATCGCCTCACAGATCAGTTTGGATGCAAACACTGATTTTCAGTATATAATAGATACACCACATCACCAAGCCATACAGGAGAGCTCAGAAACTTACTCTTTCTGCTTAACCGAAATTTGATATCCTTTGGCTAGTTGTCTCCCAAGCGTCTGGTAAATGCACTTCCTCTGCTTCTGGGTCTGTGGTTTAGATTGCACTGGGAGGTCTTGCATTGTCTTTCAGTGTCTTGCTTATTTTGCCACACAAAACTCCTCCAGGGTCACTCATTTTGCTGCAGATGTTCATTGTCTTCTTTATGGTTGGCAATTGTCGGTTATCAGTACATCACATTTTCCCGATCTGTGGGTAGGCATCAGGGTAGGTTCTGTGACTTGGCTATATCCAGTAGTAAAAGTAGGTGTGAAAGAATCTCTGTAATACGCTGATGGAGACACTTCATGTGTACGCCCAAGGCCGGGTAGTGTTGGGACTAATGAGTCCTGGCTTCAGCTGCTCTTCCCTCCTAGAACCTTCTAATTAAAGTTACCAGAAGCTGTGCCTAGCTTAGAGGATCAGAGGATGGGATTTTCACCTGTCGGCCTTTGACTGCAGTGTATTTAAGCCTCCACGGTGCTAATAAAGGGGGGCTTTTGGTATCAATGTTTAAAGGTCTGCGTGTCGGTCTGTCTCTGCGTGTGTGTCCTCAACCTCCAGCCCCTTGCCCGAAGCTCGAGAACTGGGGTCTAACGCATAGAGCGCAGACTGGAGCGGCAGAGTAGGTCTTGCTGCTGTCACTTTCTTTGAGGAACCTCCAGGCTGATTTTCTTACGAGCTGGACTACTTTACAGTCTCACCAACAGCTAGTGAGGGCTTATTGTCTTCCTTCTGTGTTGCTGCCAACCTTGTTGCCTGTTTTCTTGAAGGGAGCCATTCTGATTAAGGTAAGATGGAATCTCGCCGTGCTTTTGATTGACGTTTCCCTAATGGCTAAAGATGTTGAACATGTGTTTATTAGTTGTTTCTACTTCAGAGAAGACTCCAAGCAGTTTGCTTCCCCATTTATGGGTTGGATTGTTTATTATTTTGATTTCTTTTTTTAGTTCTTTATATATTTTAAGTTTCAATTCCTTCCATGATCCCTGGTTGTTGAAAAGTACGTCCCATCTCTGTATATATCGTTTCTGTGTTTTCTCTTCTTGGCTTCTAATATTTTTTCCCCCGTTATGAGCCGATAAGATACAAAGAATTCACTTTCTTGGTACTTGGGGAACAGTTGCTCTGTGGTTTGAAATGTGGTTCTTGGGGTGACAATTACGGGAAGAATTCCTCAGCTCTTGGGTCAGATGTCCTACAGTTCCTTATAAAGTCTGTTTGAGCCCTAGCATAATTCATCCTGAAGTTTCTTTGTAGATTTTTTTTTTTCAGGGTCGGGGGCCTGGACGATGTCTGTTGATGAAACTGTTCACACCGTCTGCTGTTTGTGTATCTGGATTGACCTGTTGTTTATGTCCAGTATGAGCTTGGCTGCACCCACACTCAATGCTTACTTACCTATTCACGGTCGTCCAAGTTTTCTTCTTGGGTTGTGTCCTTCGTCAGTATGTGGTGAGCTTCTGGTAAACATTTCATCCTCTGCCTCCGAGTCTGCATCATAGACTTCACGTGAGTTCCTGTCACTGTCTTTCTGTCTTATTTTACATATCACAGACTTCCTCCGGGGTCATTCATTTTGTCACAGTGATTTGTCTTTGTCATCTATTTCGTGTTTCTTGCCTGTTGGGAAAGACATGTCTGCTTGTTCGAGTTCTCCGTGGGCGGTCCTCTGCAGCGCTCAGTGTCACATACACGCCTTTGTTTTAATATTATTGACAAGGATTTTTTTGCCCCTGACTCAAACTAGACACTGAGCACTGCGTAGGACTGCAGATCAAGGAAAAGTCATACTGTTCCTTGCTGAGGAGGCGAGGTCTTTCTGGGTTTGGGGCCGAAGGGGAAGATTTAGATTGTGTGGGAGATGTGGAGGCTGAGTTTACTCCACCTTTGTCTATCAGAGCTAGGGAGTATGAATTCAGGGCTCTGTTCATGCCAGCAGCCTTGGTGTTGTGGACCCTGGGAGGTAGGCTGCAGTCCACTGCTCGCCACAAGTGTGGGCCGTTCAAGGCCTAACCCTCTCTAGTGTACCTGTGTGTGAGAGAAACCAGTGCCAGCAAGGCATTGAATGCTTTGCCAACCCTGGGCACACCAGTCTCAACCCTAATGCACGTGTGAGTCTTTACACGGGTCATCTCAGGCCTCCAAGATCCAACACTGCTTTTGAATAGAATTGCTTTCTGCTTTCCTGTGCAATGCAAATCGTCGTGTTAGGGAGTGTTATTTTACCATGGAGTCTCATTTTATATTGCTTATATATTGGTGGCTAAAATTATAGCTATTGAACTTGTACATCTTCAAACTTATGCAAGTCACAGCTGGTTTCCTGGACCTATACACTTTCAGAGGCTGGACATCTATCTGCTGAATCAATTAAAAAAAAAAAGCATAGGAACTTGAGGTATAAAATGAAGGCGCTTTTGGTGTGCCCAGCCATGAAGACAGCAGCCTCCTCTTAGGGTGTCTCCCCATTGTGACAGCTCTGACTATGCTGGGAAGAGCTGACCACCCTCCAGTCCCTCCTTGAAGTGCAGAGCACAGGTGGCCTGCCTGACACTGTATTGCTGCCAGGTTCTAGAATCCACGCCTTGCAGCTCCCGCCATCTTCCCTTCTGAAGACCCGCCGCTCTTCCTACCATGCAGCCACACTCTCTGATACCAGGCTCCTGGTTTCTCTTACAGTTTTCAAATCCTGTATTTTGGGGTTGCATGTGGTCCCCAACTCTACTGCTGTATTGCTGTGCCTCTCTATAACACCATACTTCTTGGAGTTTTCATGTCAACCCAGTGAAAGTGCTGGGAAATACTTAGAGTCTTTAATAACTGCTCTCCAGTCTCTGCGACCATTTGTTAAGAAAGTGGAATACTGGAAAAAAAAAAAAAAAAAGAGTCTAGTGAACATCAGAGACTGATTTACAGTGAAATCTCAAGTGGTTAAAATTTTAGGTATATTAAGTTTGATAAGGCTTTCTTTTCTTTTTATGTGGTCATGGAAATTTCAGAATTAATATGAGACTCACATCTGACTTCTAGGAACCATTCACACCCATATCCTCAATTTGTCGGAACTACCTGGTGGGTATGGGCCAGAGCTTGCTCAGGGCAAGGGAAGAATCAGGAACTTGACTTGGACTTCACTGTCAAGCATGGGAAATAAGGAGGTAGTAGGTTTCTTTGATAGTAAAGTTCTAGACAAATGTTTTGCTTTCTGTGATGACCTTAATGACAACTGAAGGATGCTTGTCTTCCCTGTAAATGCGTGAAGCCTGAAGCACCTCTCGGGTCTGATAGGAGCCTGGACTGACCGCCCCACCCCACCCAGGCACACTCCAGCTCTCCTGCCCTCACTCACGGCTCCCCTTCTCTCCTCCCAGATTTTCAACTCTGTTGGTTAAAATGTTGTCTGTGGGGGTGAGAAAGGAGTTTTGGAAAAGAATGACCTCTTCTTCTGACGAGGGCTCCTAACCTGTCAGGGTCTGCCAAGGATGTATGTTTTCTTATATAGAGCAGAAATCTAATGCTTTTAAGAGGGACTCACAGTAAGTCAACCTCACCTCCTCGCATCCAAGTCCTCTGATGCATACATGGCGCGAGTCTTGTGAAATATTCCTCATAAACCAAAGCCTGGAAACGGGATTCATATTGATCATATTAAGAACCCATACAAGTCTTTTTCCCGGTAGGTCTCCATGGTGACAGCTTCCTGCTGTCTTCAGTTTGATGAATCCATTTCTTCTGCCAACAAGTGTCAGAACCATAAGTGATTAGACCATTGAAAACAGTACAGTTCAAACTGTGATTTATTCTACTTCTTTTTTCTTCTTTTTTTTTTTCTCATTCTACTTCTTTTTTTCTTTCTTTCTCTCTTTCTTTTTCTTTCTCAGAACATTTAACTGTATCTGGTTCCCTTCAGGTCATCAAAGACATTTGACTATATTGGCCAGTACCAAAAGTTGGGGTTGGGCTTTTCTACTCATGGCTCCCATGATTTCTATTGTAAATTTTTCTTGCCAGACCTCTTCTTGTTTAGCCATCTTCGCACTGGTGGTCTTGGTTTTTAACACCTGGTTCTGCCCTGAGCATGCCTAGCTTATAATCTGTTCTAGAAGGTAGATTTTTAAGGAGTTGATCAAGAACATCAAAGGCATTTTGTGCACTCTTGGTAGCCTGTCTCGTGGAATGTTGCACGGAGCCATTCCCACTGTGCTGTTTTCTTTTTCTTGATGGTCACTAAATAGTCCATTTGAAAGGGAAAGAATTGGACCTTTTACTTGGCC